ATGATTCAATTACCTTCATCCTTCGAATTTCGCCTCTTAATAAGGCACTTTGTTATTGCACGGGCTGATGGGTTTCTAATGTGTTTATTGTTATTGCTCAAGTTTAGAACTACCTATACTGTGGAGATGTCATCCGTGGTACCAAGCAGATGCATTGTTCTAACTGATGAGATATCATTCATTGCTCGTTGAGTATTTGAGATTCGCAGTTATTGATCTTGGTATTCTAGTACAAATGACAAGTGTATTCGGGCTCCGTGCTCGCTTGACAACATACAGTGGATCTCTGCATATCTCCCTCAAGTTACACCCCGCCAAAAAAGAGTGTGGATATTATCTCCTGAGAAATGAGTATTCTGTTTAGCTTTGATCTCCTTCTGGATATTTAAAGGAAATAAAAGTCGGGGGTAGCCCCAAGGAAGAAGTATAAATGACTTAACAAAAATCACAAGTGGGACCTACTACAATAAATACATGGTTGCTAATGAGTATTTTGGCAAGCTAGTCCATGCCTATTTTCCTGCATTGACGGCTGCACAGTACATGATGGTAAGTGACTCTCTAATTTTCTCTAGATATATGGGTGAAGACCCAAGAAAGAGGGGCCTCTAGTATGAGCATCTTGGCTCTATACTTCACACACGCACACTTATATTATTTTTCAAGTCTATACACTCGCCTACTTTAGTTATGGATCACGATACTGACTTAAACATCGAAGGGGCCTCCCTTGGCTCAACGTCGGGGGTCCCTTTAACCTCTTTTTGTCTTGCAGCTCATAAATTGGATGATACTCAAAGACTAGGGGCGCACCTCGAGATATTTTAACGATTGACGGATTTTTACTCGTGCAATCTAAATAATTTAGTAGTAAACTTCAGAGGACCTAAATATAATTCTTTCTATGTTTTATTAAGCGTTACCTGCATTGTCCATATAGGGTGGCTTCTTGTATGTAGTAGGAAGATGGATGCAACTATTGAGGAATGCTCTCTCTTGGTCCCAATTATGTGTAAGGTTCTGTGTTGTTTATTGGTTGACATCGATGGATGATTTGCTTTTGCCTTCGACCAAACAAAGACATCTTAAATTCGAATCTAGACAATTCCTTGGGATCAAACTTTGAGGAAAAAATTCCTCATGGATACTCTATTCCTCTCGTGAATGGGTGCGTCTTTGATCAAACCGAAAAGAAGATTAATCGAGATGTGAGTAAGCTGACTCAGACACCCCTGATCGTTGATCCAAAAAACAAATTAGATGGATGACATCCCTAAATTGAGAATCAATATGCTTCCGATTTTGATTGTAGGTCCCAATTGTCCCAATAGATCAACACAGTATTACCTTACTCTATACACAATGAGATAAATCTATAGGTGGTAGTCCCAGAAAGCAACGCTTCGTGGGATATTCGAATCTTTCATCTACTCTTCATGAGAGATTTATCAGATAGTTGAGTTATCACTAGACCAACCCTTAAAATTAATAATTTAGTATTTTAATCTATCACAATTAAGATTAAGAACTTCAAAATCAGCCAAGGAAGAGGGGGATTCAAGTGTGTAATCTATTTTGGGCGTAGTTTGAACTGGTTGTTTTCATTGCTTCAAACTTCGTTGATATTGAGCAACTGATAAAAAGTGTTCAATTAAGTAGGAGGAAAATAAGATTTTAGAAGTGCTTTTGTTGTGAAGGATGCTTATCACATTCAACATATTCTTTCCTGGTCTTATTCAAAAATAAACATACCTATACTACTTATAAAAGTGGCTAATAATGAAAAACTTTTGATTTTCTCTCTTACCCTTAATTAATATGATAAAATCCATTATATCTCTCATACCCTTTTAACTTCTTAAATTAAATACATAAATCTATCATATTCCATGATCTTCTAAAATTAATTACATTCACAAACATATGTATCTATACTACTCATAACCCTAATTAATTTTAACCCTATTTAATTTTTTTATCAATCATGTCCTATTGCATATTTAACCTCCCTTCAATATTATATTATCTGTCTAACTATCTATCTCAATATTTATGCAAAATTTTTGATTGACAATAATGTCGTTAAAATATGCTAACAATCAAATAATATCCCTTTCTTGTGATTTTTTACTAAGCCAAAAATCTCGTGTGAGTTACTGTCAATTAAACAAACATAACTATTATAGAACCCTTAGAGTTCCATAACTCCAAGACATGGAACAGTGAGAAGTTGATTGGCTTGCCAAACTTATAAATTGATTTTCGTAACACATACCTAGATATTATTTGCAAATTTCAGCTAACGCAACACCGTGATGGTGCCCAAGCCAAAGATTTTCCCTCTCCATTTGCAGCTATTAACCAAACCAAATATTTTTAATTCCCTTTGTTTTGTCATCTTTATAATTTTGTATTGATACAATATCTATGTTATTTGACACTACCATTATTCCAAATTATCACCATAGTTTATGTTCTTTATGAGTGTGAGCACTTTCTGTTTCCAGATTTCAGCTAAAAAATTGAAATCATCATTTTTGTATATTGTGGGTGATATTTAACTAATTGTATGTGTATGTTTTAAGGCTTCCCATGTGACATATCTCTAATCCCATCTGCTGACTAAAATGAAAAGACAAGTTTTACAAATCGTTTGTTCTCTATGGTGATGCAAGGTAATTCTTAGGTGTATTTAAATGCTTGAAATAGTTATATACCTTGAAAAAAGCAAAAGCAAAGACAAAACACTCCTAGCGATATATTTTCATGGACGAAACAAAAATACAACTAACATGTGGTAAGTTGAGTAGTTTTATTTATTTAATCTTGTACTTGAATTGACCAAGTTAGAATTTTCCAACATATATCTCAAGAATCACTCAATTGGAAAGAGCAACTTGTTATCTTAAGTATCACTGACTTTGACTTTGTGTATTCAGATTTATTTATTAGAAGATTGATTTTTTTGCAATTTACATAAGAAAAATCAGTAGACATAATTATTGACATATTTGTTATCAACGGGGTAAGACTTTGATGGCGGATTTAATTGGTGATCATATAGCTCGATTTGAAGAAAATTAAAAACCAAAATTAAAAATTAAAATTATCAGTGTGCAATGCACGCGTGCATCAATTAATATCATAAATTCAAGGAAAACTTATATTTTTGACTCTCTTAATTATGGACTCAATTAGAGGTAATCCGTGTATGAAGTTATGATGCAATGTGAATAATTTTTAGAGAGGGATATTAGTGGTTGTTAGATGAGTTTATTTGCGACCATCCGATGAGTTATTGAAGCATGCCCTCCTTTATATTATAAAACTAAAGTAACTCATACTTGAAGGTACGGTGTAATGTGAATGGTTTTTAANCTGTTAGATGAGTTTATTTGTGACCATCCGATGAGTTATTGAAGCATGCCCTCCTTTATATTATAAAACTAAAGTAACTCATGCTTGAAGGTACGGTGTAATGTGAATAGTTTTTAAAAGGGATGTTGGTGACCGTTAGATGAATCTATTTGTGACCGTCGGATGGACTTATTGAAGTTTATCTTATTTTATATTATGGATTTCACTTTGTTCATTGAAATATTAAAATTTTCACATTGTCCCCTCAATTACTTAAATTATTTCACATTTCTCCACATGTAAATGGCCACCATTTTTTTGGACGAAAATTGTTAATATATCGAGACAAAGTGAAAAAAATTATATAGTTCAAGGGATAAAATAAAAATAAATTTTCATTAAATTTATAATAGCTGTTAATCATTGAGGCAAAAAAATTAATCACCGAATTGAATGTGCACCGTGAAAAATGTAATAGTTAAGAAAATACTAGAAAAAATTTCATAGTTAATTGGATTAAAATATAATTTATACTAAATTCAAATGGGGTCCATAATTTATTTTTTTATAAATTTTGTACTGTTTAATTAAAATAGATGAAAATTAATGTGATCTGTCGTCAGTTATGACTACATCATAGACATTGAAACTATAATTAGCTGCATCACAGCTCTTTGGTGTTATAATTCAATGAGAGGAAGGTTAGTATAGCGAAAAATAATTTTATAGTATTATAAGGGGGATTAGTATGTTTAGAATCGATTATATTATATTTTCAAAGAGATCCTAAAATATAAATTTGTTATTAATGATAAATTAATGGATATTTATTATTGACACCTCCTCTAAATAGGAGTATTTTCAATGAGAAATCATCTATTATCTGAAATATCATTGACATCCCCTATCAGATGAATGGTGCTAACTAAAATATAATTTTACTAAATTATTCATGATATATTTTAAAAAAAAACTTCATCCACACACTCACTAAATAGATATATCTTTAATATGATCTTCTCTATTTTTAAAATTTTTTATTCATTAAAATTCGAATCACTTAAAATTCAATTTGAACTAATTCAATTTTTTTTTTACATATTAAAATTCTAGTCATTTAAATTAAAATATGAGTTGATTAAAATTCATCTTTAATTTGCTCGAATCGAATTTTAATTAACTCGAATTGAATTTTAACTGAACTAAATTTGGATATATAAAAAAAATTTAAATTTTAATTGACTCAAATTTTAATATGTAGAAAATGAATTTTAATCAGTTTGAATCGGATTTTAATATGTAAAAAAAAATACAAATTTTAATTGACTCGAATTTTAATTGGCGTTAGCAATTCAAGTTGAGCTCAATTTGGTTCAAATGTTAATACATATAAAGATAAATTTTAATATCCTCAAATTTTAATACATAAAAAAATTAATCAGCTTGAATCAAATTTTACTTATTTCAAATTTTAATTAATTCGAATAAAAATGATGGTTTAACAGCGGGGTGTAATCGAAGATATGTATATTGATGTGGGTGATAATTATTTTTAATTAATTTTATTATAATTTAACATATAAAAAAAATTCAAAAATGAAATAGGAAAAATACACCTTCTGCACTACTTCAAATCGGTTCCTACAAGTTCTTGACTCGTCCTGTCCAGACATCTTCATGTTCCACTTCGAAATGCCAAATTTTTCAAGAAATTAGGGTTCACACACTCTCTCTCTCTATGCTCAAATTTTCCCCCTAATTCTCTTTTCCACGTTGTTCCATTTTCGTTTCCCTCCTCACGTATTCAAATTTCAATGTCAACTTCCACAGTTTCAATCACGGCGAATCCTGGAGCCGCTAGGCGTAGACCCGTCGAAAAACATAAGCCGGGCGTGGATTTGATCGGGGCCGATGGAGTAACCGTTGGTTCTCCGAGTAATGATCGACTCGGAATCGGTGATATTGGGATTGGGAAAGATCGAAGCCATTCGATTAGAGGCGAAACAGTTTTAGAGAGATCAAGAGAGCATGTAGCAGTTGAGGTGAAGAAGCCATTGCCCAGTTCAGCAAACGGCAATGTATTGCCCCGCCGGAGTACACGAAAGGTCGTCACCAAGACCGAGAAGCCTCGGTGGCAGAGAGTGGTTCGAGTTTTTGCCAAGAATTTCCTTCTTTTGCTGGTTCTCGCGGGTTTTATCCTGATAATTCGTCGATGGGTTTTGAATTCGAGCAATGGTTTTGATGTTTCTTTGAAGGGTTCGGATTTCGCGGGGCGGATGGCGGAAATGGAAACTTTCGTGAAGAAGACGACGAAGATGATGCAGGTTCAAGTTGATGTAGTGGATACGAAAATCGAGAAGGAAATAGGGGGTTTAAGAAGTGAATTGGGTAAGAAAATTGAGGACCAAGGATCAGAATTCGTGGCAGAGTTGGAGAAATTGGATGGCAGAACTGGGAATTTGGAGAAGGCTCTCGGTGAATTGAGGTCCACGGAGTGGTTAAGCAAACACGATTTTGATGGGTTTTTCGAGGAGTTTAATAAGGCAAAGGGAATTGATAGTGGTAGTGATGTGAGTTTGGATGAGGTGAGAGCTTTTGCGAGGGAGATAGTTGAGAAAGAAATCGAAAAGTATGCTGCCGATGGGCTTGGGAGGGTGGATTATGCTTTGGCATCTGGTGGGGGCATGGTGGTGAAGCACTCGGAGCCTTATATTGTAGGGAAGGGAAGTGGTACTTGGTTTTGGAGAAAAGGGGTTCATCATGATGCCATAAAGATGTTGAGGCCGAGTTTTGGTGTGCCAGGCGAGTGTTTCCCTCTTAAAGGAAACAGTGGGTTTGTTCAGATTAAACTTAGGACGGCCATCATACCAGAGGCTATAACTTTGGAGCATGTTGCCAAGGTGAGCTGCGCTTAATTTATCCTTGAATATGATTTGGTAGTTAGTGTTCTCTCATTGCATCTTGCTGCATGACCATTATAAAGACTTTGTTTGGATTGCTTAATTATTGGTGAGTTAAGAGAGTCACATTTTGGAAACTGAGAAGCATACTATGAACCTGTGGCTTTGTATTTATTTACACCTGAATAAAAATGGATGTCACACTAGAGAATTATTCCTTCTAACATTATTTTGCATCTAATGCATTTTTTTTTTTATCAACTAGTAGATAATGTATATGCAACCTCTTCCTATGTTTGGGGTTATTCTAGTAATGATTATGGAGTTCTCTTTCATTGATCTTCAGAGTCTTATTGAAGAAGGATATCCATTACTTGTACTATATTGGGCTACGCTTTTTTTTTTTTTTGGGGGGACGGGGTGGGGGGGGGGGGGGGGGGGGTGGGGGGTGGTGTTGTACCAACTTAGGGCAAGGTAATTGGGAATTGGATTTTCATATTGTCAAAATTATATGCTCGGTCGGCTACCTAGGCAGTGATCCTTTCTTTCAAGCGGATTCCCCTCTGTAGAATGTAGGATGTCCAGTGGGAGGTTCGGAGATAAGGAATTCTAGAAACATGAATGAATCTTTAATTTTTTTAAGCATAGATCTGAGAAAAGATCAATGAGATTTTTGAGTTTTCTGTCAGCCTATTAATCTTGTTTACTTTAAATCAAGGAACCTCAATTGTGACCATTTTCCACTTTATAATGTCTCACCTCCTTAGTTCTTTTTGATTATTCTTATGGTTTGGTTGAAGTTGCGACCCTAGGTTCTTGTGTTTTACGATCACCTTAATATGAAAGATCTAGACTTCAGGTGAATCCTTAGAGGCAGAGAATAGTTAGACCACCACCTTACTCCAGGCAATGCAATTTCCTTGACTATAAAGAAGGGCTACATTGTTTAATATTTAGGGGCTACTTTTACCACCAGCTAGTGCTTGTTGCCGTTGACTGGCCATGTGTAATTTTGTTTCTTGGTTGGTTTCCTGTGATTAGGCTTGAAAGGATTTTCCATCGATACTGACTATTATACATTATAGGTCCTGCATTCACTATATTATAGTATTTATTTTGTTGTTTGGAAAAGGTATCAAGGTAGTATATGGGCACACTGTTTGATTGTTCTACTTTAAGTATACCCTACCCAATATGCAAAAATTAGCATTGCTTGGGGAGTGAGTTGGTTAATTCTGTTAAAAATGGATCTTGTTAGAAGAGATTTAACGGTATGCTTTTGAAAAAACTCGTCTGTTTTACTGCCTTTTAAATAGTGTGATTGACCTTGATATGAACCATCCAAGGTTATTTCAATTCATTGACACCACTGATTGAATCCAAATCCATTACAACACAAAAGTGGCAGGATTTCATTAGGCACTTAGTGATATATATGTACGACTTTTTCTTGACCATTTTTAGAAAGCAAATATCTTCAAACATTGATTTTAGCTTATTGTTATATTTGTTATAATAGATATGAGGATTGTAGCTGAGCTGAGCTGCTCCAAAATATGATTTTTTTTATTCTTCATGATATATAGCTGGTATTATGCTTGAAATTTGCAAGTAATTCTGATAGATAATTGTGCAACTACTATTTATGGTTCAAAAATTCTTCTGTTTTAAAGATTATCTCAATTTAATTTTGGAGGCAAATCTGATTTTAATTTTGGAGGCCCCAAATGGATAGAGATATAAGCTGAAGGTATAGCCTTTAAAAAATCTTGTAGATTGACTCAAGTTGATTTATTATGCCTGTTCAGTGGGGATTTGAAATCATTATTACATTCATTGCTGGTTCCATGTTTTACTTTAATCTGATTGCCACAGCAGAAATTCTAAACTAAGACCAACTGTGTTTCTGCTATGCTTTCCTTGAACTGGTAATGTGGATTTGTCAATTTTTCACTCTACTATGTCTCTGTCTTGAATTTCAATTTGGAACCTTTGATGCACAATGCAAAGTAGCAGTGCTGCTTTTCAGGTTCTGCTATTGAGGGGCACAGTTCAATGCCCATTCTGCTCATGATGCGCCACTTGTTTTGCTTCTTTTTGACTTGCATCTAGATCTTGTCGGTTAGTTGGATTGGTTGATCATAGCAACTGAATCGTGCAGTGTTTTTTATTTTTTTTTCTTCCGGTGTGTGTATTCTAAGTGCTATAGGTAACCAATACAGGATAAGCATGTGAGTTGCCTCCTAGTTTGTTACTATTTATTCGATGCTCTGGCTCGTTTGTTGTGGCTTCCTGGGGTGTGAGTCATGTGACTTTAGTATATACATTTGCCTTCATTATGTTTTTACAGCCTCACAGTTCCTGTATATTGAATCATTATCTGAGTTCCTACTTGTGATTTCCTTAGCTTTTACTTAGTTATAGTGGGTTCTGCTTATCAGTCCGCTAAAATATTCTTTTCATTTTACAATGAGCAGAGTGTTGCTTACGACAGATCAAGCGCTCCCAAGCACTGTAGGGTCTCTGGATGGCTCCAAGGGCTTGATACCACTGATCTAGCAGTTGATACCGAGAAGATGTTTCTTCTGACAGAGTTTATGTATGACCTCGAGAAGAACAATGCTCAGACTTTTAATGTGTTGGACTTGGCAGCCTCTGGTGTTGTTGACATGATCAGGCTTGATTTCACATCCAATCATGGAAGCCCTTCTCATACTTGCATCTACCGCTTGAGGGTGCATGGTCATGAATCAAACTCTGTCTCAATGCTGGCAATGGAATCTTGATCCTGGCACACTATGGTTGAACAGGCATTACAATTGTTATATTTAGTTAGTTTCTTATTCTTTTCCTGTCCTTTGATAATTTTTTTTAGGGTTTCTCTTCTTCTAGTCGATTATGAACTTTTGACTGGTCCGGTTTTCGTTAGTGTTTTAGATGGTTGTACTTGTATGTGCGTTTTTTCCCTTCATATTTGCCGGGGTATAGGGATCGACCGAGGTCAGTCGGTTGGCTACTCTAGGTCTCCAGTGTCATTTTATATGTACTCAGGCCTTTAATTGTATGAATGTGTTTTCAAATCTATTGTTCAAGAGGTCATAATCAGCAGTCTGCGTACTGCATGCTAATCTGACCTTCATTCTCTAAAGTATATTCACGTACCTAACACACGATACACTAACTTGCACGTCAGAGCAATCAATGCATTTTGAAACCAGCTAGAAAAATCAATATGGGTTATGTTTTAAGTATTGTATTGTTTTTTTTTTTGGTAAATACCATATCGATTACTACAAAAAGGTGTTGATTTGGGATTGATTTTAACATTTTATGCTCGATTTTAGTTTAAGTTGGCTGTTAGGTGACCTTCTGAGTTGTAATTTGATCAAAGTGAACTGTAATTTATTCTTGTTTAGTGATAATAATGTTTGATTCTGTGTGATTCTTGCTGTAATCTCTAAATTTTGTGGGTAGACCTCTTTTTTTGGGTAGAAATATAAACATTCATTAAATAAAGATAGCATGTTTACAACGTAAATTCATCTCATTCCTACTCTTGCCTCTCCGTGAATGATTTTCCATCAGCTGAGATGGAGGGTAGGCTATCCAGTGTGTAGGTATAGTTCCTTGACTGGTTTGCTTTGCTACTATATGGGCTGCTGTGTTGCACTCCCTCTTTGCATAGTTGTATTTGATAGCAGGCAGTTGGTTTGCATATGCCCAGATATCTAATTGAATAGATTTGATCTCCCTTATGATTGTTGTTGGTCCCTGCTCAAGAGAGTCGATGAGCTCTTTCGAATTCGATTATATTATCACCAAGTGATAAGCTTCCTCCACAGCCATCCTGCTGGCCCTCATCACTGCACTAGCTTCTGCCGCTAATGGAGAAGCTACTGTGATGTTGGCAGAAGCCCCATTCATCAGTCGGCCCTCACAGTTGCGCACTGCAGTAGCATAGGCTCCTCGTCTAATTTTAGCAAAACAAGCTGCATCGCAATTTATTTTCATGAATCCCATTGGAGGGGGAGACATGCAGCGTTCATATGCTGTGACTCTGTCCGGGTAGCTGGCATAGTATCAATTTGCTGGAATTCTGAAGTTGCTGAAATGGCTTGATTAATAACGCCCTTCCTATTAGGGTGATGATTTTGGTACATCAAATTGTTGCGAGCTTCCAAATGCGCCAGCATAAGTGGGCTAACAGGGGTCCATGGACCAAACTTTTGTTCTTGTAATTTCATACTTATCTGTAACTATGTTAAGAGGGGAGTGTTGCCATACAACGGAGACCCAGGGGCATAATTGAAAGAGATGCTCAATTGTTCCTTCCTCTTCCCACATATTGGGCACATGGGGTTTTGTGTGAGTTTTCTCTTTCCAGATGGTCCATTTGGTTGGTAGGATTCCATTAGCTAACTTCCACATGAAAGATTGAACCTTTTGAAGGCACTTGCAATCCCCAAATTGCCTTCCAAAGGCCATCCGGGGCTTGAAAAGAAGAGCTTGCTGTTGTATTTGATTGATTGGTCATAGGGGTTTACTGTAGCAATAATATCCTCCTTTTACCAAGTTACAGCCTAACCTTGTGTGCACCCATTTGAGTTCAAGTTGCTGTTGAGTTTCACCTGGTAGTATGGACATAATATCCCGGGATACTTCTGGAGGAGAAAATTTGTGAATGAGGTCTGAATTCCGTCTTCTATGAGGTTTTTGAATTAGTTCCTATTCCTACACACTTAAGATGTTGTTTTGGCTGCTATTGGGTATTCATAGGTGTCCTGGTACCCCAAGGATGCTCCCAGCATTTAATTTGGCTGCCATGGCCTATTTTCCAATTGTAGTTTTTAGACAACACATCTCTACCTTCAAAGAGACTCGTCAAATCTAGGAATTTGGTGGTTTAGCATTCACCTCCCATATAGATTTCCCATGACAGTATTTTTCTTGCAAAACTTTATCCGGATTTTGGAGCCTTCAAAAATCTCCAAAATTGTTTTGCTAACAAAGGTGTGTTAAAGTTTTCTAGGTCTTTGAAACCTAGACACCCATCCTTTTTGCTTCTAGTTAGTTGGTTCCAGCTTTTCCAACAAATACCTCTTTCCCCTGATGTTTTACTCCACGAAAATCTTCTAATGTTGGCAGTGATGTCTTGGCAAAAGGCTTTGGGAATTTTAATATGGTCATGGCGTATGATGGTATATCTTGCACTACTATCTTAATAAGTGATTCCTTCCTTGTTTGGTTTAAAAACCTCTCATTCCATCCTGCTATTTTGGAGAGTATTCTTTCCTTGATCCAAGCTAGAGTTTGCTTTTTAGGTCTTTCCCATTCCAGAGGTAGTCCCAAATATTTCCTTGCTTTGTGTGCATTTGGAATTCTGAGGAACTGAGCAAGCTCTTGCTGAGTAGTCAATGGAGTGTTATGGCTAAAGAAAACAACAGACTTATTTAGGTTGATCAGTTGGCTAGTAGCATCGCAGTATCTACTTAGGATGTCCATTAGGATTTGACAATTTTCTCTAGTTGCTGTAGAGAAAAAAATAGAATCATCAACAAATAATAAGTGTGAAAGTGTAGGTCCAGACCTGCTCAGCTTGAGTCCTTTGAGAGATCCGCTTCCTATTGCTTGATTGACCATTGCAGTTAGACATTGAGTTACGATTATGAACAAGTATGATGAAAGAGGGTCCCTTTGCCTGAGTCCTCGTGATGGAGTGATTTGAAAAGCTCTGTCCCCATTCACCAGTGTATTATATCTCAATGTGAAAATGCATTGTGTGTGCGCTCGTTTTCGCACAATAGTAGAAATAGGAATAGATCTCTCCCACAACAAACTGCGGTCTGAGAAAATAGTGTTTCCGACGGAACAGAAGGTTCGCTTTGTCGATCTCTATTCGCCTCCGGGGGAGCTTCGATCCATCTAGGAGTGGGTTTTGGTGACCAAAGATAGGTTGAGAGGGACAAAAGGACCTTAAGGATTAGTGATGAATTGATATTGGGTCGCCTAGGCGGTCCTAGGACACTGAGGAACGATCCTGTGACACAAAAACGAGTTAGAAGGGTGCCGGAGTGCTCTCCGACATATCCCCTCCGACGATCAAGTCAGTTTCTCGAAGATGGGGAAGAAGAAAGTACTGTGGTTTTGTTTGAGTATGTTCACGTACCTTTACAGTGAAGGTTTCAAAACTATTTATACTTTAAAAACTCATGATTGCTGATAATCTACCAAGTAGTCATTCGTCAGAGATGAGGCAGTGTGCCCCTACTTTTCTGAGGGAGTGGGTTTGTTTTAACTGGTCGGGGCGCCAAGAGCCAGTCATTCAATCCTCAGAACCACCGAGAAGTTAATTTCCCTCCTCGGTAGGGATGTATTAAATGCCCTAGTATGGGCATCTTTAATGCATTTCACATCTCGCCCCTCACACCTTAACTACTATCTCGTCACAAAGAGGGTTCATTAAATGCTTGCTTACTTGAGTCGCATGTCAGTGGTGGTGTCCTGGTCTTTCTACAACTGATTTGACATTGATTTCTACATGTCCACGCCTCCCTGGTTACGTGTCCTGCATTCCTGACCCTTATGACAATATTGATCAGAGTGCCTTCACGATGATTAGTCTAGTCTCCCCAAGGCTAGCCATCTAGTTAATCATTACCTCTTTTATAGAAGCAGAGGAGAAGTTGGATTCGCACTCCACAAGGAACACCTTGGCCCCGATGTGTCTAGAACTTCCTCGGACGAAGGGGTCACCAAGCCGAGGGGGACACGTCGCCTGGCCAATGGCAACATCCCTTACCCCCGATCTGCATATCCCTCGGTGGCGAGGGGCAAAATGTTGTCAAGGACACATTTTTTCTTACGGACACCGAGGACACGTGTCGCCATCTGTTCTATCTCAGAAATGTCCCATCACATTGCATAATCATAGTAACCCACTTCTCAGCATACCCTATTTTGATCATAAGGTCCTTCAAGAAATCTCATTCAATTTTGTCATATGCCTTAGCCATGTTTAATTTGATGGACATTTGATACTTTTTGGTTTTTCTCCTTTTTGTGCTATTATGATGTTATCCTGAATCTGTCTTCCCCTTATGAATGCCCCTTGATTATGATCCACCAAATGATCCATAATGGGCTTTAATTTGGTAGCCAGCATTCTGGAGATTACTTTGTAAACAAAATTGCAGCAACTTATTGGCCTAAATTCACCTACATTCTCTGGATGGGGAACCTTTGGGACTAAATTTTGTTTGTTTCATTGAGTTCCTTTAACAGAAACCCTGAGTGATAGAAAGGATGAACTGCATTAAACAAGTCACTTTGGATTACTGTCCAGTACCTCTAATAGAAGAGACCAACGAGACCATTTGGTCCTGGTGCTTTGGTTGCTCCCAAGCTAAAGATTGCTGCCTTGACTTCCTCAATTATGGGAGCTTTTAGAAGATGGCTATTCATCTGATCTGAGAGCATCGTAGGAATAATCTGCAGAACTTGATCATAGTTTCTACTACCCTCTATCATGTATATGCTATGGAAATGATCTTGCATTAACTAATTTAACTACATCTTACCAGTGGTCAATTTATGGAAATGATCTTGCATTAACTGGTTTAACTACATTTTACCAGTGGTCCATTCTTCCTCAACATTCTTCAGCATCGTGATCCTATTCATTTGTCTTCCTTGAACTATTGTTGCAAGGAAGAACCATGTGTTTTTATCTCCTTATTGAGCCACTTCAATCTTGATCTTTGACCCCAGTATTGCTCCTCTTTACGCCATAGATCTCCCAATTCTGCCTTGATCTTCCTTACTTCTTCTTGAGGAAAGTTAGGGTTATGATTGTTTTGGATGTCTTGCCCCTTGGACTTTAAGAGTTCAATTCTTCTCTTGCTATTTTCATAGTGAGTTGATCTCCAGTTGGATAGACTCTTCCCACAAGTCTTGATTCTTTGTCTGAGCTGATACATTTTAGAGCCTCCCACTGGCTTTCACTAGCTCTGTTGTATGATTCCAGCACACTGTTCCTCATCCATCCTTAAGGCTTCAAATTTAAAAAACCTTCTTGGTTTTTTCTAGTTTGGCTATGTGTTCAATATTAATGGAGAGTGATCTGAGCCTATGGTTGGGGATGCAATCACTTCTGCATTTGGATGAGTCATTCTCCAGCTTGGAGATGTCATTGCTCAATCTAATTTCTCTCTGACATTCGTTATTCCTTGTATGTGGTTGTCCCAGGTGAATTTGCATCTTTTACTCTCTAACTCAATCAAACTGCTTTCATCAATAAACTCCTTGAAGTTTCGTATCTTCTTGGCTACTCTCTCTCCCATTCCTTCTCACTTGATGAGAGACTATATCATTGAAGGGTGAACTTCAATTCTTTGAAATTCAACGGATTGGACTGTTGGGCTTGGGCCCCCATTCTAATAGTTTTAGAAAGTGGAGGAATACTTTTAAGTACAACAGCAGCAGATATCCCCAAAAATGTTGTCTCTTGGTCTCACACACACAAGTGGTCTTCCTCTATTTTGGGAACAATATTCTGCATGTTTCAAGAAGGCAACCTCATACCTTTTGCATTGCTACAATTCCTTATTGGAGAAAGGCAAAAGTAGATAGCACTGGATTGGGTGCCTTTTCCCACAATAATTTACAATTTATAAGCTTTAAATATGCATTTAGTTTTCTATTTAGTTATTTTTTGTATTCGTTTAAGATCGTCTTTTACTCTTATATAGTTATTAAGTAGAGTTCGATTGACAAGAGTAATACAATTTGCTGATTGACTATGGTGGTGTTATGGTGACAGATTACCCTTTCTGAGTTAATAATTATGACTTAAACCGGACATTTACGTCCAGGGGTAATTACCTACTAGTCGTCTCTCCCATTTTTTCTTGATTCAAAAGTTCCTATTTATTTTTTGAAATACCAATTGTAAAAATAAATCAATATTTTCTCTGAGTTTTAATCAAATTTCAAATCAGTATTTTCTTCTGAATTTATTACTTTCTTCTTACGAAATAGGCTCATGTGACCAACACATACTTGGCCACGTGCATATTTGTCCAACAAAAAATCTTTTCCTCCTGAGCGAAAAAAACCTAACTCTGATTATCTGAGATATATAAAAGAATAACGTGATTGAGATATAATTTAAAACTTAATATAAGGACCTAATTTATTTAACCATTGAATTAGCAATAGATATCAATATTAAATTAAATCCACAATCAATTTAACGAACATAAAACATAACGACTACAAATTAAATACAAATAATATTATTCTTAAAAAAATAGGAAGATATAGAGGGAGAATTTGAGATATACGGTGAACCAAAGAAAAAAGTGTCAACATTTCATATAAACGGAAAAGTAATTTTTTACCGAATAAACATATCCTATGAGCAAGTCACATGAGACAATTCTGTCGAAACAAATAAATAAATCTGGATAGAAGAACTAAATTGAAACATTTCAATGGAATTTTAGAAACCAAATGGAAACTAGTTGCATAATTTAAGAGTAAAAATTGCAAATTCATAAAAAAAAAATGTATTGTGAAATGCAATTTTTATATAAAGTTTTGAAATTATAGTTTGAAAACATATATATTCTACACTATTAGGAAGAGAATGGGTTCAGTGTTTATTATTAGAATATCCATATTATTTTTAATAAAAAGAGAGGAGAGAATTATCCATAATACTCTTTATTTCTTCCCAACTAATTACTCAAAACTTTTACTAGCCAAAAAAAAAAAAAAACTCAAAATTTACTCTTTAACTTTGCTCAATCACCTAGTGTCAATTTTATTTTTTTATTTATTTTTAAATAACTCATTTTACAGGCAAATCTTACGTGCCATTGAAAGGAGGGCAATTTTCGCCCCGACTTTGACATTTTTTACTGGGCACGCAGTTTGGGCGACGCAATGCGTGATGTTTAGGCATACGTGCCCTCAACCTAATTGCTCCAAGCACAACTTGTGTTGAAAAATTCAAATATTCATAGAATTCCTTAATTTATATAATGCATCGCATTTAATTACGTTTTTTTATCAATGCGACAATTGAGGTATCCGTTGTCACTAGATTCCCTCTTTAATCTTATTCAACCATTTGTTCTCTCGGTAATCGTATATGCAAAACATCATGTTATATAAAAAAATGTGAATTTACTTTTTTTAAAAAAAATAATTAAATTTATAAAATTAAATAAAAAACTCAAATCAAATGATTGGCTTCGGAAGAAATTTGGGCCCAAATTGAAGGAACATCGTGGCCCGACCAATGCCAGATTGAAGTGTCGGAATCAAACCTTCTGTCAGGAAGAAAGATTCAAAAGAATTCCAAATAAAGAATAGGGGCAATTTCACTTCCTACCCTATAAGATTTTAAAAAAAATTCGTTGCACTCTCAAATACTAAATTTTATATATTATTTTTTAATATATTAAAAGTATTATAATTTACTCTTTTTGTTAGCTTTCGTTGCTTATTTTTTCACCCTATTGACATTGATGGAATAAAAAATAAAAATTAATGAAAGAATAATATTTAAATATTTTTAATATATTGAAGATATAGTTAAGGTCTAAATTTTGCGAGCTTGAAGTTGAGCCCATCAAGCTCTTTTTTTAAACGAGTCTAAAAGTTTATTAAAGTTTAATGTGTTTAAAAAATGAGCCGAGCCCAAGTCGAGGCTTAAAAAAAAGAGGTAAAAAATTATTTAACCTCAATTTGTTTAGAATATGAGTCGAGCCTCAATCGAGTTCTATCTGAGCCAAATCTAAATAACTCATCTCGATTAACACCCCTAAATGCAATGTGAAAAATCTACTCTTTTATAATACAAAATGAAAATTCTTAAAATGTTTCAGGGTATAAGGGAAAATTCTACGGTATTGAAAAAAAAATTCGGGACCGGTTCCATTGGCTACTATTTTTTATGGTAAAGTTACAATTTTGAAGGAAAAAATTACAACTGTTTAAGGGAGATTATGATTGATCATAGACATCCATGATTGAATTATGAAAAATGTTGTATCGATCACAACATTTTATAATCGATCATACCCTTTAAAGTTATAATTTATACATCAAAAAAGTTATAATTCAACTTAAAAAAATTATAACTTTTGGTATTGATACTGTCGACGATATAAAAGATCTCAAGATATAAAATGTGATTCCCCTAGAAGAATTTTTTTTTAAACACGTTACTAAATTTTATATTTTAAATGATGTGTTAAAATTTTATGCATTGAATATTTGGTAAAATTAATGAATTTCAGTGATCTAATCACCTATATTGATTTGAGATATAAAATTTATTAAATAATTTAATAAATATAACATTAATCTAAAAGAATTTGAATATGATACATTCTATGAAAGAGAGAAATAAATAAATAAAAATGAGACAAGGCTTACAATGATTTGGCTGCCGGCCACACGTAGGGTATGCCAGGAGGGAAGGACATTCACCATTGGCTTCGAGCGGCCACATGGTCAACTGATTCACCAAGGAGAAGTTTTAGTAGTACTTTTTTTTCTCGGGAAACAAACAAAAGGTAAACAACCGAAACACAGTGTGTTTTCCAATGGCCTCTTTGCACGTAAATCCATATTCCCACTTTTGACTCTTTCTGATTCGGATTACCCTTTTTCCCTTTGAAATCAAAAACCCAGACCAGACCAGACCCCTTTCTGCATGTAATTCTATACTTCTATTCCTTCTTTTCTACTTTGCCATAAACTCTCTCTCCGTCTCTCTCTCCCCTCCATATGTATATGTGTGTGTGTGTGGCAGTTGACTTCTCGAGAAACTCAATGTGGGTTTTCAAATCTCTTCCATGATGGAGTAAAATAAGACATTCTTGGTGGCATCCTCTTCATTTTCATAAGGCTCTGAACGTTTGTTGCATCTCTCATTTATGAATGTGATGTGACTCTCCTTTTCTTGCTTTCTGTGGCGATTTTGAGTTTGTTTTCACAATTTATAATCAGGGTCTGTGGGTGATTTTATGAAGGTATAGTGAATTCTACAATTTTATGTCTTTGAATTAAGCTCATTTGTTTTCATGGTTTATGGAATGGAAGTGTTTTAAATTAAAACTATTTTCTTCGATTCCAAACATAATTTTTTCTAAATGTGTAGAAACATATGTGTGTATCTTTGTAATTCGTAATGTTGTTTCTAATTTGTTCCTCTGCTTCTTTTCAGATTGTGAATTATCTGATCACTTCTAAGAATTTCAGAAGGAATCAGAGCAATCTTTGATACACATATGGCTGGAAGGAATGAAGAAATGAAGAAGGTATTGTATTTTATTTATTCATTTTGTTTTAGAGTGATGACAACACAAACATCTGGTAAAACTTGGATACCTTATGCTATAAAAATAAAGGTAAAATTGCGATTCAATCTGGTGTGGCTACGATAGAAACAGTATATTTGGAATCAATCCTAGCGTTTTGGGATCGTCCCCAATCTTTTTTTGTCGTAAATTGACTCCATTGAATAATAACTTGATCCAAATGAGTTTAAACTAACTCTTCTATGGTTGTAACCTTCGGTACTGTTGATCCTTTGGTATTGTAGCTCCTTTGGTGCCAAAGTCTAAACACACATATAAATTTCGGACCGTTTTTTCTAAACAGAATAATATGATCCGTTAGACTATTCTCGTTTCAAAACATGTACTGTCCCACAATTTGTAGAAATGCCATTCTGTATGGGAATTCTTGCTAAAAAATCTAATTTATGAGATTTTTTCCATTTTTTACCCATTTCCTGACAATTTCCTCAATAGTTATCTAATCTGCATTTTCTCAATTTTTGCTTTAGGCATTTGATTTCCCTCTCATTCTTTTGTAGCTTTGGCCAATGTTATTGAGAATTAGATGCCAAGAGCTAGCCTATTAGTTCATTTGTCATGTCCAAGCAAATGTTTGACTATATTTATCACTTGGTGCATATGTTTACTGCCTATGATTTCAGACCTTCATTCGAAAGATTTTTGCAACAAAGGAGACGCCAACAAGGGAAATGATCAAAGATTCCTTTGATTCATCTGGTGAGTACTGCACATCCCCTGCCTTTACTAGAAAATCTATCGCCTCCCCTTTATTGAAAACATACAGGCATAAGGCTTCAAATTGCTGAAATGAAGCTTTTTGTGAAAGGAGATGCCTCCAGTAGTTTGTTTAGTTATCTATATTCTGTTGCATTTTTCCTAGAAAATGAATGAACTGAAGGAAGTATCTGTTTGCCCTTCCCATGATCAATCACAAAATCTACACAAGCTGTAGAAGTAATCAAATGGGCTATAGGGAATAGTCAAGCGTCAAGAAAGTGCTGATTAATATGCTATTCCATCCACCTCAAAATGAGCTTGATTTGAAATGAGCAGAGTTCAAAAGAATATAGATAAAAAGAATCTTTCTTTTGATAGCATGACCAAAATTACCCTTTGGAAAAATAATTTGTTTCTTTTCAACATGTGGTTTTCTCTTGAACGAAGGGGTTTATTGGAATCTCAAACAGACTTTTCTTCAACTTTTTGAATGGGACCTAAATGTTGGGACAAAAAATATTGGGGAAGACACAATTTTGGGAAGAAGAAAGCAGTAAATTTCTTTGTGGTAAGAAAAGTTTCATGACATGGTACATCATTGCTTAAGAGCACTAAATTGGGAATCTGGACAATGTGCTTTTTTGATCTTTTCTATTTCCTTTGGTGAATAGTTAGATATACTAAGATAGGAAATAAAATGTTGCATTAATAGACACGCCCACATAAGAGTTGGCCGTGGCGCAATGGTGAGGTTACTTCATTGTGACCTATGTATCACAGGTTCTACTCTTGGAAATTCCTTCTCCACATTTGGGGATAAGGTTGTGTACATATGCCTGTCTTCAGACTCCACAGTTTTAGGAGACCCATGACCTATGCTGCCTTTTTATTTACACTCACATAACATATATTTGTTATGTGCGCATATATCTGTTTGACGATTGTTTTGTACTCAATGGTGAGTATGTGATAAAGAGAAAGGGGGGGGGGGGGGATAGATAAGGTTGAAAATGATGGTGGTAGTGGCTGGTGGTGGTTACACATTGCTAACTGAGTTAACTCAGTAATAACATTACTACAAAGAAAACTGGAAGTTATCTTAGACTCTTTTTTTTTTAAATACCAAAACTGTTTTAAGGGCTAGCACCGCAAACAAAAGTCCAGGGGGTAAAGCACAACTTGCCAAAATACAATGGGGTTTATTGTGTTTGACCCTTAAAATTAAGCTAGAGGTAATTTTTTAGGTGAAGATAGAAGCAATGGTAATTAACAGTATAGGATGCACAATTATGTAATTAATATTGCTTCACCAATGATCCATTCTAGGCGATCTATATCAGCTTACCTGTAACACATTATAATTTGGAGCAAGTGGCATTTTACCTTCTGATTCCAGTTCCATGCATGGGAATATGATCCATTTTTTGGTAACATGTAAGTGGAAGAGATAAGGAATGAGTGGATGAAGAAAAGAATAACATGGCAAGTTGGTCTAAAATTGAGAATATTTCATGTTTCTACTTTTATGCATTTCAAGCAAGGAAGCCAGAAGGAGATGCCCTTTTCCTTTCTCTGTAGGTCATTCTTCATTTCTTCTTAACTATATTTTATTCTTTCTCATAAATCCTTGTTTCTCATGGAGAACTAGAGGTTGTTTCTGAAAAGCGATGAGATTTATCAGTTACACCAAGTTATTTCATGCTGTGAAGATTAAAAGTTTTAAGTACTTGTATATGCCTGCTTCCTTTTCTTAGGTATCCCATATCTGTTTTCTAAACTGAAAAAATTTCTCCTTCTTCTCTATTTGTGCAGAAATTCAGCTTGATTTGGGGATTGAGGGGCCAGTTTCTAGTGGACTAGTGCATCCTATGTCGACTAAATGTCATGTTCAATCCTTACGGTAAGAAGAATATAAAATGTTCTAGATTTCATAATTTGTTCCCAACAATCTTGCTTATTTTTGCCTTATTTCCTTTTCTTAATAGAGTCTTTGTAGCAACATGGAATGTAGGAGGGAAATCTCCTCACAGTGGCCTGAATCTTGATGATTTTCTTCAGGTCCATGATCCTTCAGATATATATGTTCTGGGGTGTGTTTTCTGGTCTCTTTCTCTTACCTCTCTCAACTTTATACTACATGAAATAACAATAGACCAACTCCATAAATGAAACAATGTATAGAAAGCTCAGTTCTGAACTTGGACAACAATACTTATCGGCTTCATTGCTTCTCTAATTAGATATTTTATGTATCCTCTTACTGTCCGCATGTTGACATGTTCTTGTGCCACCTATTGTTTTTGTTGGTATTAGTTTTCAGGAAATAGTCCCTTTAAATGCTGGAAATGTGTTAGTTATTGAAGATAATGGGCCGGCGGCAAAATGGTTATCTTTGATCAGCCAATCCTTGAATGGATCTCCCAATGGTTATACAATGAACAAAACTATATCCACTCTTGGGACGAAGCCTTTGGCTCCGGGAAGTATAAAGCCCATCACAACCACTGGCAGCTCACTGTTCTTTCAAAAGAATTCCCTTAAAGCAGCTAGTGATTTTTACAGGGCAGAGAGTAAAAAGAGACTTAAGAGTTGCAACTGCACTTCAGAACCAGAAAGAAAGCATAGTAGGGATTCGTGTTTCAACTGCCAACCATCAGATATTTCTGAGGGTGACTTAAATAGTTTGATAGTTTCTGAAATCGCCACCCTTTCCAGTACGAATGAATTTAAATATAGCCTTATAGTAAGCAAGCAGATGGTGGGAATCTTTCTTACTATTTGGATTCGGAAGGAACTTACCCAGCAAATTGGACACCTGAGAACTTCCTACATTCGATGCGGGATCATGGGTTGCCTAGGAAACAAGGTATGGTTTTACTGTTGTTGAGATGGAAAATTTGTGTAAATGCTTATGAAAAAGGAATATGCACACACACAACACAACACAACAGAGACAACAATGCAATCATAGGTAATGTCTCACTTATTGGTTTCTTTGTTTCAGGGGTGTATCTCCGTGAGTATATCTTTTGGCAATACAAGCTTTTGTTTCATCTGCAGTCACTTGACGTCTGGAGAGAAGGATGGGGATGAGATTAGAAGAAATTCAGATGTTATTGAGATACTTAAAAACACTCAGTTTCCAAAAATCTGCAAGACACTCTATAGTTGGGTGCCAGAGAAAATTCTGGAACATGAGTGAGCATCTTGAATCTAGACAATATCCTTTTGGTTTAAATTTATGTATACTTCACCAAATACATGTGAATTCTTTTCTGATATATTTCATCTGAAAATATGGTTTCAGCCGGGTCATTTGGTTAGGGGATTTGAACTACCGGATTGCTTTGAGCTACTCTGAGACCCGGAAATATCTGGAGGAGAATGACTGGGATGCTCTTCTTAACAAGGATCAGGTAATTAGCTACTTTTGCCACAGATAACTTTGAGAAATATTGATATTGGGCTTTTGTTGAATCCACAGAATGGTAAACCAGCTGAATTTGTTGTTCTTGCTTGAAACCTCCCAATAATGATTGCATTGCCATGGAAATAAGTGAAATGGTTTTAGTAATGACAGTTTTCTGAGCATATCTACCACAATTCATAATCTTCTACTGTATTTTTGAGTTATTTCTAATTTGGTAGAGCTTGCAGGCACCTGAGTTATTTCTAATTCTCTGTTTTTCTGGTTTTAAGATCAAGTCCCCCCATCACACTTTTCTTGTTTTGATAGCTTAAGATTGAAAGAGATGCTGGACGGGTACTCAAAGGATGGAAAGAAGGGAAGATCTACTTTGCCCCCACATACAAGTATTCCTATAATTCAGATGCTTATTTTGGAGAGACTATAAAATCAAAGAACAAAAGGAGAACTCCAGCGTGGTACGTTTATAGACTTTGAGCATATGCTCATTAGGATCCAAAATACTATTTCCGCTGCAATTCTTACTAGCTGAAAAATTGCAGGTGTGATAGAATACTGTGGCATGGAGAAAGGATACAACAACTGTCTTATTTACGTTGGGAGTCCCAATTTTCTGATCACCGGCCTGTTTGTGCAAAATTTTTGGTGGATGTTCTGACTTTTGAAGGTGGTGTGAAGAGATAATTATCCATCTCCAACATGAAAGTCAAACTTCAAGAGCTTTTGTTTCCAGCCAGTAAAAATTGATGCTGTATTACATTTTGGTAGATATTCTGCACCTTATAGAGTGGTGAATTTATCAACTTGGAGCCTGCAGTGGCGGCTAGCTTAATTGATAGATGGCATCACACCAAGGAACATGAATCCTGATGCCAGTGACCAGTTTACACAGCAATTCCAAGGTTTGATTGTTTCTTCAAGGATGTGGGTGATTGAGCTCTATCCGTCGTGGCTTGCCTCATAGAGTCTATGATCCTTAACAATAAGAACATTGCCTAATTGTCCAAAATTGGTATCAGATACTAACACATTGACCATAGCTCTTGCAGAAGCAAAGAAATATACAATTTTTGTCTCTGAAATGTGAGCAGAGGGATTAAAGAGAAGTATAGTGCTAATTTTGCAGAATTAGCATAGGTTGGGCAAATTGTACAGCGCATTCGAATTTCGAAGTTGTTGGTTATAAGGTGGTGGTAAATGTCATACTATTTGAAATTGCTTCTTAGTATAGTTTTTTTTTTCTTTCAAATCTCAGTTTCAATGCATGGAAATTTGATATAGGACATGCCTAGGCAATGTTGCCTTTGAAAAGTGATGCTGCATCAGGAAAATGAGTAATGTGATGCATTGCCAACAATGAGAATATTTTTTCTATCTTGCTGAAAGGAGAATGATATCTGGGAAATGTGTGTATTCATCCTTCTGTATAAGACATGAAATCAACAGTGCCTTTTTTTTTTCATGTACTTGCTTCATGTGATTATGCAATGATGTTGGACAGTTTGCATGTTATTTTCTTCTGTGTTCTATAAAAAAAAAAAATAAAGATGCAAAGCTGTATTTATTTGAAGTTCTTGCAATGATTAGATATAAGGCTAAGTTTGGGTGACAGTAATCTTAATTGAGAATAAGTATCTTATTTTAGGAATGAGATACTTGGGTTTCAATTACCATAGTAATATCATATTAGTCTTTGATTATTACCACTTATCTAATGTGAGAATTAATATCATTTTCATACTTTTTAAGGAAAGAACTTAGGAGATTGATTTTAAGAAGAGAACTTGTTTTTTGAAATGAAGTTAATTTTAGGAAGAAATTAGATTTTGGATTTTTTTTTTCCTTTTTTAGAACACCCGATCAATATAGGTATGAGATTACCGTCATTGACTATGAGTTTAAGATATCCACTAATTTAGTTACGGTAGTAGTCTTATTCCTAACTTAGATTACTAAATAGTTGACTATTCAAATATGATATCTTTCAATACACTTTCTCTCGTAGACGATATTTAATTGAAGGAAATTGAGTAAAAATATACTGAATAAGATTTAAATCCTATAAAACCGCAACCAAGTAGACTATAGTGGAGTTTGTGGCTCCATGGCCAGTAAGTCTCTCCTATACAACATGTGGCCCTAACTCATAGCATAAAGTTTGCCATGCTTTAGTGGAAAGCCACTTATCCTGTGTTTGGATGGGTCCATACTGGTCGGATAAGTGGATGGATGAGATAAAAGTAAATTTCATCCTAATTTAGTGCGGCACCGAATTAAACAAGTGGGATTATTCACATATCCAATCTAGACCTAGACCAGCATATGCAACATATAAAGATTTTGTACTTGGGAAAAAAAAACTGCAGGACCTAGACCAGCAGATATATTTTTCCAAAAAATGATGTATTACGTAAGTGAATAGAGTATAAAAGACAGTCTATCTTACTTTTCGATACCATACCGATTTTAAAGAGTTACGTGTCACATTTACAGCTTACCTTACTTTTCGGTATTATACCAAAAAATAGGTTGGTGGTATAGTAGTGTTACCCAAAAAACAAAAACTCGACAACTTGAAAAAAAATCGATAGTTCAGTTTCGATACTCAAGTTTTAGCGCTCGCAGAAAGAGATAGATTCTTCAGTTTAGCCCCGTCGACCGTGATGAATGAGTTATACAAGCCCATTAGTTACACCATTTTGGATAAAGAAATGGGGGTAGGATCTTTCCTTCATCTCAACTCTCTATACTTGTAATGGTGAGTAAAAGAGGACTTACACATGGGTAATGTGCCTTTCGCACCTTGCCCATAGATGCAAGATTCGCGTCTTACTAGTCCCCCTTGTTGTATGTAATGTAACCGGAAAAAAAACAAACAAAAAAATTTGTAGCGGCAGTCCAAAAAATCTTATCAAATTTACGCTCAATAATTTTTTATTTATTTATGTTAAATAGTCGATATCTGTCTATAAACCAGTCCACAAAATTCAAAATCAATATGTCTCCCCTTGTCCTAGTGCTTCACAAAATTCATATCTTTAAACTTACCTAAAAATAGCCCACTCAATTTTGTTGGCAAGATTCTAATAATCTAACTTTGATCGAGAGAGAATCAAAATATTAAATCTTAATTTTCAAAAATAAAACAGATAAATCAAATTTTATTGTTCCATATTTTTAGGGCTTTGTTTAAATTCAATCTTATTTTTTTTAAATAGATCTTTTTTGATCATATGTATTTATTTTGATTATAGATTATAGACAACAATCCAGATATAAAAACTTAAAAATAAGAAAATTTCTAAAAAAAAAAACTAATTGTACCTCAAAAAAATCTTTAGATAAATTTGTTACAAGTATCAAACAAAAATACGTTAGTAATTGATAAGATATGATAGTAAAATTTGACAATGCAATAATTTGATTAAGAATGTGTATTTGAACTAGCGATATTTTTTTTAAAATACATTATTAAAAAAATTCAAAGATCTAATTTAAATTTGTCACTTTAGGCCTCAATTTGTGTTGAGCTACCCCTGTCGGGGATGGCTTGAATGCCTCCAGCTCTTTCTACGATGGATTAACCAACACCCAAGAGTCATGGATATTGCCCACAATATTATTGCCTATTCTACACTCCTTCCACTGCTCTCCAACTGTCAATGCTATTGAAATGCTTGAATGGGTGTTCTCAAACTTAAAAGCATATGGATACACAAGTCACACAACTATGTTTGTCTTTGGGTGTGTTTAGATTACATTTCAAAAAATTATTTTTGGGAAGAATTTTAAAAAAATGTGTTTTGATATTTTCTGAGGTAAAGAATTTGTTTGGTTAGATGATTCTAGAAATAATTTTACAGAACATAAAATAATAAAAACATGTTTTGACAGACTAAATATATATTTGGAAAATAATTGAAAAATTAATAAAAAAATATGAAAAAATTATTTTTAGATAGACAATTCTGCAAAAAAAAAAAATTCAATACACCAATTTATATATAAAATCAATAAGTTTATATATCAATTTATAACATATTCAATATCAATTTCTATATAAAATCAATAAATCAAACACCAATGAATCTGTTTGGACAGAAAAATTGAAAATGGACAAAAAAAAATCGAAAAATAGAACAAATTCTAGAAAAATGAACACTAATAGAGCAAACGGAATAAGTTACAGAAAAAATTTCTACTACTAGTAACAAAAAAAGCCACCAACCACAATCAACACATATTTTACAAAAAAATAAAAAGTAATGGATAGCCAGATATATAACCAATAAAAACGAAGAAGATAGATATGGTATTCAATCCAGATCTAAAGAAAACCTGACTAAAAAAAAGCTAAAAACCAAAATTGGAAAGAGAGAGAAAAACGAAGCTGGAACCGACGCCAGAGAACCCAGATATGTGTGTGTGTTTTGTCTGATTTAGCTGGAATGGAGAGAGAGAAAGACACAAAAAAAAAAAAAACCTTTTTATAATAAGATATGCTTTGCTATTAAGAAGGTCAGAAGGGGGGACCTTATTAATAAGGATTTGTAGTATTCTTCGTCTTCCCTTCTTTTGACTCTAAAACACCGAAAATAAGTCCAACTTGTTTTTCATTTTTTGTATTTTGCCTTTCTCTTTTTTTCGAAAATTGAAGAACCAAAACCCACAACACAAATCAATCTTAACATTTTAGAATACTCGAAAGTGGTTTAAACCACTCATGTAATGAAAACACAAAACGAGATCAATCCTATCTTACAAAAAATCGATCGTGGAACAATTTGGTTCATCCAGAACAAAGCAAGATTGCTCATGGTCTTCTGATGCTACCTGGTACTTATGCTCAAAACGCACATAACTTGTTCATACGTATCATGTTTTAAGCTAATGACCCATCGTTAAAAAACTTGAAAAGTCATCTTGCTCACTAAACAATCATGGATTTATGAGCTCATCCTGGCCAACCAACTTTCCCATTATCTTTTTTTTTCCCTTTCCAATCCTCCAAGACCTGTACCAAACATGTCACAGATCGGACAAGTTTTGACTATGGAATGTGCCCATACAAACCTAGACCTTACAATCTTTCATTTGGAAAATTTTGACAAAACTCCATGACTTGCACGACTTAAAAATTACATCAAACTAAGCAAAGACTTGATGAAGAGTATCAAACTAATCATGTCGTCGTATCATTTTGGATATTTGCTATTTTTTGAATTGTTTTATTTTGTTTTCATATCATATATAGGTCGTGTTTGAATCGAATCAAAATTAAAAAAAAAAAAACATTATAGATTAGGTCCATTAAAATTGGTTATATTTTCCTATAAAATTTAAGATGACAGCGTAGCAAATTGCTTTAAAAAAAAACATATGCTCGATTTGATTTTTCTAGAAAAATAGAAAGAAAAAAAGAGTAAAAATAAACATTTCTACGGTTTGATCTAAAAGAATAATTTGACAGATAACAAATTAGATGAAAAACTTATCCCTCCCCCAATAGAATATTCAATTCAACAGTGATATTATGTCAGCATTAATGACATGATATCATCAATCAATAATAAAATTTTAAATGCGCAAAGTGAGCTGCATTGTAGTTATTGGCTTCTATAAAAGAAGAGTGGATACTTATATAGATTGATAGTTATTGGTTTATGTAGGGTTCACTTTTTTATTTGTATGCAAATTATTAGTTGGTGATATCGCGTGACAATACTGACATAATATTACGGTTATAATAAATATTCATTTCAAAACAAATAGGGTTGACTCAATAAAATTGGGGCACTAAGCGAAAGTTTGGAATGTGGCCCTTTCAAAATATATTATGAGTATATGCATGCTCTAGTTTTATGTAACTATTATTCTTCTTGTTTTTTGTTTAATCATTTAAACTTATTTGGGAATAAGATTTATTTTAATCTTTCTGTAAGTAGTTAAGTCAATTTTTTAATAACTCAAAAATACCCTTCCTTAAAAGAGCGTTACATTAATTTAATTTGGGAATTTACTGTCAACGGAGATATACCAATAATTTTTTTTCATAAATTTAAAATTTAAATTTAAAGAACTCAGTTGGACTCTCTCTCTCTCTCTCTCAGTGGCAAACGGATGACCAGCAAATGTTGGAATCTTCGACTTTGGATGGCAATAATGTACGATGATCACCAAAGTTTTGGCAAGTGGCGTCGTTGACTTTTACGTGTGTGTGAGAGAGATAAAATAGTTATAATTTATATATAAATATAGATAGATATTATAGAAAAGTAATTTTAATGGTAGTAACAATCTTAAAATTTAGAGTTTGTTAATTTTTAAATTTTTTTAATTAAATATAATTGCTAAAGGTGAATAATGAAGACCGAAATGAACTTATTTATAAACAATTTTTTTTGTGCCCCTAAATTACATTACATTTAATAAGTAGTATAAATGTGATGTAGATATTTGGGGCCCTCTTTTTAAATATGATCCACCCATTATTATTTTTTTTGTTGCGAAAAAAATAAGAATACGGGTAAAAGAGAATGTTTAGTGACCATTCTGATAAATTTTATCGGTAGGATTATAAGATTTTGATCGCGCCTGAAACACTTATCAAGATCAAATCTAGTTAAATTAGTATAACTATCAACCATTAAACTCTAATAGAAACTCTAATACTCGAATTTTTAACTTCAACATAAAGAGTAAGACCGGTATCCGCCAGACTTGCTTACTTGGTGCTAATCCGCCCATTATTATATATTATATCCAACAGCCCACAGATTTGAAACTTGGACACAGGAAGGGTCAAGGGGACATTTTTGTGGTACATGTAAACCATTGTACGCACCATATTTTTTGTGCTGTAAAGGCGGCTTCCGCACCGTTCAGCTTCGCAAGGTTACCAATTCCGCTTTGTCTTTCCCTTGCTCTTCCCCCCACCGTCCCCTCTCATCTCACGCGCATTAAAGCCTCGACTCGCCTCGCCCTGTACCACCCACCTCATTTACGTTTCCTCCATTCTCTCCCGGGTATCTAGTTGTCTAGGTTCTCTCCCTTCTGCAAGAAAAGATGGCGGAATCCAAGACGAAGACCTCATTTGAATCTTTCCGAGAATGGGTCGTCGATCACAAGCTTCGTGCAGTCGGTAATTGATTCAGTATTCGTCATTTTCCATCTTTTACATGCACATGTTTATATAGTTATGTGCGTGTATTTGGTTTTGTGAATACTGGGTTTTGATGTTAATTTTATTTAATTTTGTAAAGGGTGTCTATGGGTGAGTGGTATAGCGGGATCAATTGCTTACAATTGGTCTCAACCCGGCATGAAAACCAGCGTCAAGATCATTCACGCCAGGTAAAATGTTTATAGATTCTCATTTAATAACATGCTATGTTCCCATTTTCATAACATGTTTGATATTCATTGATGTATGATATATGAGTCTGCTATAATAGTTGGGTACTTTATGAGATGATGACTGTTATGTGCGGCACTGGCAGTTCCTCCACCTCGCCTCCTACCACCTGCCTTTTTACCTCAAGAGCCTATGTCGACAGATTTGGGGAATTTGAGAATAAAAGTTAGGAGAAGAGAAGGAAAAAATCTAGGTGTGATAAGAGAAATAGTTGGTTTTCTTAGAGGAAAACCTTCCTCCAAGAATTGTAACAGGAATTAAATTCAACCTACTTTTCATTATCCACTTTCCAACTTATATAGGACTTAGGTACAACATAAAGAGAAACTGCTGAGAGATACTTCCTAATAACACGCAAAGTTCCTAAAGATTAGGCAAAAATTAAACAACTAAGCTTAACCAACAAGGACTCAATGTACCCATGTAATAGACTTACCAACTAAGGAGATAAAACTCCCTTTTTTCTCCTCCCCAACTGGATGTTTATTCCTCCACTAATTGCATGTTCTAGGTTCACTATTTCACTGCCCATATCTCAATAACTAATGCCCACATGTGGACTAGGTTCATAACACCTCCCCCCACTCTGATTTCACCCTTGTCCCCAAGGGTTATCTCTGGAAACCTCAACTTGATCTATTCCACACGCCTCTTTCGCACCCTCTGATCTAAAATAGCTTGTGGATATAGGCTAAGAGAGTCATCTTCAACATTTGTTACCGGAAGATATGTTTGTGTTGTAACATTTGCCACACCTTCTTCTTGAGAAAAGACACATGAAAAACTGGATGGATGCGAGATCCTGCAAATCAAGCTGGCTCAATCCTTTGAACAACCTTGTATGGTCCCTAAAATCTTGGGGAAAGTTTGAGATATTTACAATTGAGAAAAACGTTTGCCAATATGGTTGGAGTTGTAAGTCAATCACCCACTTCAAATTCTCCGTCCACAGTTGATCAAACACCTTCTTCATGTGAGTTTGTGACTCTCTTAGCCTTTCCCGCAACTCCTCAATTATTTGATCTCTTTCCTTTAGCCCCTTATCCACATATTTCATTCTTGATGTACCTGGAACATAAGAAGTGAATTTGGTGGTGGCCTCCCATAAACAATCTCGAGTGGAGTTCTCTTGATAGATGAACGTAAGCTTGTATTGTGGCAATATTCTGCCCATGGTATCCCGTTCACCTAGTCCTTGGGTTTGAAACTTGTGAAACACATTAAATACTTCTCCACCGTTAGGTTGACTATTTCTTTTTGACTTTCGGTTTTTTTTTCTCTTGTGAAAAAAAGGGGTGGGAGTAAATGAGATCGTTCAGAGACTACCCCGATAGGCTTTCACTGGTGGGATCATGAGACCCCTGATCGCGCCCGTTACTTCTCTTGGGAACGAATCTAGCTAGGTTAGCATAGCGATCAACTACCAAGCCCCAGTATGGACTCCAAGACTCAAATCTCCAACTTTAGCGTGAAAAGTTCGGCCAGTACTCTATGGAACCACCCCACTTGGTGGTTTTTGGGCCATTAGTGTGTGGATGATAAGACGAGTTGAAATTGAAACTAGTTCCATTTAAATGAAATATTTCCTTCCAAAATGCGCTTGTGAAAATAGGATCATGATCACTAATGTTAGATTGCGGCATTCCATGTAATCGAAAAACTTGGTCAAAAAGCACCAGTGCTACACTTGTTGCGGTGTATGGATGGAAATGTGAATGAAATGAGCATACTTGGGGAGCCTATCAACTACCACAAAGATTGTTGATTTTCCCTCGGATGATGGCAACCCTTCAATGAAGTCCATTGATATATCAGATCAAACTTGATGGGGGTAATGACAAAGTTTGTAGCAAACCAATTGGAGATAAATTATTTGTTTTGTGGTGTTGACCAGTATGACATTTCTTGAAGAACTACTTGATATGTCGTCTCATCCTATTCTAATAAGAAATTGTGCTAACCCGTTGAAATGGTTTGTGGTATCTTTCATGCATGTTGGAATGTATTTCTTTGATGATGGTCTCAATGAGTGGGGAATCATCTATCATGTGAATACGATCCTTGAAGAAAAGAATCCCTTCTCAATACTTCCAAGGGCCAATCGCTTCACCTTCTTGGCATAACTTCACAAGTTGCTTTAACTGTTGGCTGGTTTGGTTATTTACTTTAATCAGTTCCAACTATTGAGGTATCGGTTGTGAAATTACAACTATTTCTCCCTTCTTATCTCTTCTCAATAAGGCATTGACTACCATATTTTCTTTCCCACATTTGTGCTCTATTGTGAAGTCATATCCCAATAATTTGGTGAGTCATCATTGTTATGCCACTGTGGTCATTATTTTCTCCCAAAGATATTTTGGGGCTTCTTTGATCAATTCTAACAATGAACCGACTACCCAGAAGATATTGCCTTCACTTGTGAAAAGACCAAGGCTAACTTTTCTTTTTCATAACTCGATAGAAGCAGATTTTTTTCATGCAAGGCTTGACTGAAAAATGCTATGGGTTATTGCTCTTGCATTAGTACTGCCCCAATGCCGACACCCAATGCATCACACTCCACAATGAATGGCTTGGAAAAATCTAGAAGTGCCAAAATAGGAGATTTGGTCATGGCTTCTTTGAGCGCTTCAAATGCCTTTTCTACCCTATGATTCTGTGCAAATGAATATTTTTTCAACATTTTAGTGAGTGATCTTGCTATATTTTCATACCCTTGTATGAATTTTCAGTAATTAAAATATTATCAAAAACATTAAAATAAACTTACGAAGATTCTCTTTGAAAATCTCATTCATGAGGGATTGAAATGTTGATGGTGCATTAACAAAGCCAAAAGGCATTATAAGAAACTCGTTGTGCTTGTGATGAGTTTGAAAGCCATCTTTTGGGATATCCTTGGGATGCTTGCGAATTTGATGATAGCTCCACTGTAGATCTAGCTTCGAAAAAAATTGTGTCCATGTGACTCATCGATCAACTCATCAATAACTGGAATCGGAAATTTACCTTTGATGGTGATTCCATTCAAAGCCTTGTAATCAACACAGTCTCTACGAGCCATCAAATTTTTTGACAAGCAAAACTGGAGATGAATAGGGACTATTGCTTGGTCTAATTACACCCAAAGTAAGCATATCGAACACCAATCGTTTAATTTTTGTCTTTTGAAAATGGGGTTAACAATATGGTCGAACACAAACTGGACCACTCCCTTGGACTAGAGGAATTTGTGATCATGTGACCTTACCAGTGGCAGTCCTTTGGGAGTGTCAAAGACATCATGTGAAGTATCAAGAATGAGCTTCAAACTTAGGTTTTCATGAGAATTAATGTGTTGGGACTGTGGGATGTCCATGGAGATTGAGCATAGCTGCCAAAGAACTCGTTTCTTTTTTTTTTTTTTGGCCTCATGGGTGATATCGGTGTCTCCCACGGGCATATCAGTTGGAGTTGACATTCCTTGGATCCCAACCTACTTGTCTACAATGCAAAATTTCATATGCATTTAGAGAAATCCCAAAGGATTGGACCAAGTGTCCTCAACCATTGGGCTCCAAGAACAGCATCACAACCATCTAGAGGCAAAAGATATAGATCAACTATAATGGGAATACCTTGGATTGTCATGCATACCCCTTACATCTTCCTTCACTAGTTTTTTTCTCTCCACTAGCAACCACTACTTCAAATAGACCCTTACTTTTGGGTTGTAACCCCAGTTTTTTGGCAATTTCTTACTCAAGAAATTATGGGTGCTACCAGAGTCCACAAGAATAGTAATTACCTGGTTTCCCTTGTTGCCAATGGCTCTCATTGTTTGGCATGCAAGAGATCTCGATATAGCATGTAACAAAATTTATAGGGTTTCTTCACCCATTACTTCTGCTGTTACATCATCCTCGTCATCACTTTCCTCTTCCTCAAACACAACCCTTGATGAGAAATAGTTTCTTGCATCGATGGCCTGGTCCAAATTTTTCATCATAATTAAAGCACAACTCCTTTTCTAGTCTTTCTATGAGCTCTAAAAGTGTCAATTTTTTAATGGGTGGGTGCATTGGATCGAGGAAAAATAGAAGGTCGGGACAAGGGTGTTTTTCTTGCTTCAAGTTGGGTCATTCGGTGATGATATTTGGCTTCATAAAGGTGAGCTAGCCCCACAACAGCCGAAAGATTAGTGGGTCTATCTTGGACATCAGCTCAAATGCTTTCCTTGAGGCCACTCACAAAGCACCCCACTTGTTGGGACGAAGGCATCTTTCCTGACCTTCTGAGTAACCTATCAAACTGACTCCGGTATGCACGAACCCAACCGGATTATTTCATTTTTGTGACTTCACCAAAAAAATCTTCATATTGAGTTGGTCCATAATGAGCATGCAAACCTACCTTCAGCAAGTCCTAAGTAATGGAATCATTTTCTTCCTTCGGTAATTGATATCATAGTAGAGCCTCTCCTTCTAGGTGCTATGCTTCTAAAGGTACTCGTTCCTCCTTTGAATTTTTTTTGAAACTCAAAAAATTACTCCACTCAACAAACCTAACTATTGGGATCTTCGCTACCATCGAAGTGAGGGAAATCTAGCATGGCAAGCTTGGGTATAATTGAATTCATTCAACCATTTTGGCTAGGACTGGAATTTCCATTAAATCTTCCAACCATGTTTCGGTTGGCAGAGCTCTTAACTTGCTCACGATTTCGATTTACCGCAAGCTGGTCCAAACGTAAGTTAATGGCAGAGACTATCTCTTGCAAGTCTTTAAACTTTCTCTCGTTACTAGTAGCTAAGGAGCTGACTTCAACTTCAGGATGGGTAACACGTTGATCATCCATGTTTGGTTCTGATACCAATGTGTTATGTTTAACACCGACAACTCCTCCACCTTGCCACGTTTCAAAATATCGGCTGAGGCCCCAACCGATATGATAATGATACCTAGTACGAAAAAAATCACAAATTTAACAAGTAATGGTTTCGAATCAGTACAACTCAGCAAAACTCGGCTTCATCTTGTTCAAATCAGTCGATTCGACTCCAAGTTGCACCAATTTGCACAAAATTGTTCACCCTCAAACAATTGAAAATGCCTAAAAAATGGGCAAAATAGATGAAGTACAACAAACCCAATTTGCAAGCAAAATCCAAATAAAAATGGATTGAAA